GGCTTCCCCAAAACATCAGCCGCCAAACCCTCTGGGGCAGAACTCGAACCTGACATGGGTGGGGCTACCGTGAGGCGGGGTAACTGCTGCCAACACGTAGTCAAAACAACACCCTCCACCCCGCTACATAACTGATGACTGATTGGCCCGTTGACCTTTAAGAAAAGGAACAAGTTTGACAGCCTGGACTCGTGTAATGAGGAGGGATTCCTGGTGAGGCCGGTTTGACCCACAGTGAGCGAGCGGATGGGACGGAGTAGAACTGCCCCGCACAGAGCTTCTGCCACTGCAGTCCTTACTGACAGGAGCCCGGTGCAAAGTGGGCTAAGCCTGGGGCTGCTAACCGACGTGCTGGTGGTTGAGCCCACCCGCCGCCCCGAGGGAGAGAGAGGAGACTTTCTACTCCTATGAAGAGTGACAGTCTCGGAGCCCCAGAGGGGCAGTTCTAGCCGGTCCTACAGGGCTGCTATGAGTCAGCATCAACTCCATGTCCCTGATGGTTTGCTATTTTTTTGTAAAGAATCGCGGCCTTAGAAAGCCTATTTCCAAAGGGTCGCTCTGAGTTGGCATCACCCGGTGGCAGTGGCTTTGGTTTGCTCCTGTCCCACTGTCATCTCGTGAAGGGGGCTGGTGGGTTCGAACGGCTGGCCTTTCCGTTTGTAGCCATGCACTTTAACCTCTGCACCACCAGGGCTTCCTAGCATGCATCCAGAGGTCACTTAGGTTTTTCAGGGGTCAGACAAGGAACCTGGGGTTGAAAGAAGGGAGGGTGCTTCGCCCAAGGGCTCCCTCTGGGATTCAGGCCGACCCCCATGCCAAGCTTGGTGCCCTTGGGCTGCTTTTCCATAGCGACGGCAGCATGTCCTGAACACACTGACAGACCAGTGGCCCCACAGTGTGCTGTCTCAAGGTGCAGAACAAACGTCTGATGCCCACTGGCCACTGCAGAGGGGTGCTGTGAGGCTGGCCCGAGGGAGCCTGGGTGACAACCCTAAAACAGACAGCGGAGGCCCAGAGGGAACAAAGTGGACACCCCACTAGACCCTACAGTCACATCCACCTTCCATGCAGTTACCCAGTGAACTCTGGCAATGGGGTCTGGCCGGTTGGCCTAGGTCCCCCCACTCTCTTCCAGGCTTGGGGCTCCCAGCTCGGGGTCCTCTCGCCAGCTCTTCCTACCCTGCCATAACTGTGCCCACTAGCGGCCATCGGCCCTCTTTGGGCTCTGTCCCTGTGTATGGCAGGGAGGCACTGCGCTGGCCCTGGGAGGGGACACGGTACACACAGACACCCAATGTCCTTTTTCTTCTCCAGCAAGGGCATTCGTAAGTGATCTGGAAGAGTTGGGTGCATCTCAGAGCCCTCTCAGCACCTGGCCCCCAGGACACCCCCGTTGTCCTGGGAGATGAAATCATTTGTTCTGTTGGTCTGAGCCGCATGCTGCCTGGGGCTCATACACAAATCTGGGCGAGCAGGTGAGCTGTAGGGTGCTCTGCAGCAATCCCACTCGGAAAGCACTCATCAAAAGGTCACGTGGCTTCCGTACGTCACCCAATTGGGACGGACCGCATACAGGGGAGGCTTCTGTTCAAACCCAACCGGGCAAAGCCAGTTTGGGGCTTTTCAAACTTCATTTTCTATTTTTCCCAGCTCTCCATAGGGAAGGCGGGGTGAAGGGGTTCAGGACAGAGTAGGACAAGTCTGCCCTCAGACAGCTGTACCTACAGCCTGAGAGCCAGCTCTGCAGTACAGACGTAGGAAGACAGGCTGGCTGCTCCCATGAAGACCGAGACTCGGAAACTGTATTGAGTTGCTGCAAGTCCGCATCCACTCAGTGGCCGTGGGTGTCTTCTTTTAACACCGTCTCTAAGAAGCCCCGGATGCAGAGCAGGTGATGCCCTGGGCTGCTTCCCACATGGTCAGTGGATCAAAACCACCAGCTGCTCCTTGGGAGAAAGGTGAGGCTTTCTATCCCCGTCGAGGGACAGTCTCAGAAACCCACAGGGGCAGTTCTACCCTGTCCTAGGAGGTCGCTGTGAGCCAGCAGTGGGTTTGGTTGATCAAGCAGCCCTGGGGGCACAAGGTTTAGAAAGCCTGGCTGCTAACCAAGAGGTCAGGAGTTCGAATCCATGAGCTGCTTGGTCACGAAGGTCTGAGAATCTGTGTCCTTAGAGATGACAGGTGTGGACACCCCGCACGGGTCTCTGAGTGGAACTGATGCCCCGCTGGT